AAAGTGATGCAGCAGTGTGCTATCGGTGAATATTGGATGTTGTAAGAAAATTGCCGGTGACTGGTTTAACAAACATGGAGTGGCATTGCTCCAGTGCGTGCAGAGTGTGGGCTGCTCATACAGTCAGAAATCAAAAATATTTTTTTCTTTTTAACGTAAGCTGGGATGAGGAGAGGGAGTGCATTCAGGCAAGGTGAAGTGTGGGCTGCTCATACAGTCAGAAATCGAAAATATTTTTTCTTTTTTTCTTTTTAACGTAAGCTGGGGTGAGGAGAGGGAGTGCATTCAGGCAAGGTGTAGAAATGGCAGCGAGTTACTATTGGTAGCATCTGGTGCAAGTAGAGTTTGGAGTGATGGGAAGTCCATGCATGTTTAAGTAATGCTCAGTCTTGTCAGCGTAGTGGTTGCTTCTGAATAAAATTTTTAAATAATAAATATTTTCTAAATTTTTTATATTTTCTATAGTCATATAATATTTCCTAAAGTAGTATTCTAGAGCAGCTTGTCTAGAAATAGGCTTTACGTGTTTTCAGAATTAGTCTAGTAATATTTATAGTGGTTTTCACAAGGACAGACATTTTAACCCATCGTTAAATTAATGGCAAAGGTATGTGACCAACAAGTATTACTTAATAAAATCGTGAATTACAATGTAAAACCTGTAGATTTGATGGAATAAATATAAAATTTGTGGACAAATAAATGAAAATGCAGCTATTCTGAAATCTATGTGAATTTGTAAAAATGAGCCTGTAATATTTAGTAGCCATCAATAATTATCGATACAAACATTGCTGTAAATGTTTAGTCGTATGCTAGTATCATAAAAAGCGCTCAATGTATTGAAAAATATACATCTCAAAACAAGATACTAGAAATTCTTTTCTGTGACAGAAGTGAGATTGCGCTGTTTACTTTCTAGTTAGGATGTCAACTCTTTTGACTGAAAGCAGGCACGTAGCGTTTCACATCTTATAGGGAAACGGGGCTGACTTTAGTAACGCACGTTGCCTTGAGTCTGCTTTTCAGCTGAGAGAGGGATGGAGTTCGTCTGAGAGCTGTCAGACACAACTGGGAGTCAAAATTGTACCCTGCAGCCTAGTCCCATGGATTACCTGCATTTTTTTCCTGCTGGCCTTTGCTCTAAAAGCTCTTATCTCCCCTTGCAGTGGTTTTCTACTGAAACTTGTTCTCAGGTTTGTTTTTTCTTTCCTTCAGGTGTGGGTCAGGTGGTGCTTCAAGTGGCTGCAGCCACAAACTGCAAACATCACTACGGTGTGGAGAAAGCTGATATTCCAGCCAAATATGCTGAGGTGAGTTTGTTGGAAGTAAGTTATGTATACATGCCTTATTTGAGGGGCTAATGCAGCGGACTTAAGTGCTGTGGGGGAAGAAAAGCAGAGTTCCAGTCCTACTTGGTTTTGCTTCTCAAGCTAGCAAGAGCTGGAGCACGGCACGCTTGGGGAAAGAAGTGTTCGTCTAGCTGCTGGCAGTGCTTGGGGAGGGCACAGAAGGAGCATTCGCATGTTTCTGAGTGATTTCAAGACCAGGAGGTGTAAAGCTGTTTTAACAGTAATGGCATAGGACCTATTTGGAAGGAAACTCGGCGTAAGCTTCCCCTGAACACCTGGCTCTAACACAGGGCTTCCAGCGACCATCGCATTGAGCAAATCTGGGAATGAATTCACCAAACAAATAGTTCTTAAAAGTTTTAAAGGCTATGTTTTTGCTTACGGTAGTGATGCCCCTTTTTGGTGTCCTAAAGCTGAAGTTCAGATTAGTTATTAAACTGTTGTAAGCTAATTGATGAGGCCTCTGTTGGGTATCTGGTTAATAACTGCTTAGTGGGCCCCTAAATGAAGACTTATAATAAGAAAACCATTATGTGTAGTCAGGCAGGCAGCTTTCTTTCCACTTCTTCTAATTCTGTGCCGATGGGGACACACAAAGATAATCAGTTCCAGGGCAAACCTGGAAGGCAAATGAGCTACAAGCAAACAATAAAGGTTAGTCATGCTTTACTTTAAGACGTTTACTTTCTTCAGTAGACTGAACAGAAACTTATCCCTCCGTATTGTCAAAACAAGCTGACTCAGCCTGTACAGGCTGGAAAATTATACCTTATGAAGGGAGGGGGGGGAAAAAAAAAATCCTTGATCCTCCTTTTCAGTGGTGTGGGCAAAAATGCATAAACACAGTGGTGAAGAGGATCGGACAAGGATGTGAAAATCTGTTTTGTTTCCCCTGCCATGACCCAGTGGAAATTTCCAACTGGAGTGCTCTTTGCAGTCCCTCTGTGCGAGCGTTCTGGTTTCATTAGGGAGTCACTTGCAGAGGGAAAGTTAAACTCCTGCTTTCACTGATACCCCTTCGTGTCATTGTGCAAACACAAGGCTTTAGTGAAAATGGTTAGCAAACAAAAAAATTACCCACAAATTGAGTACTAGGAGTATTAACTCATGGGGTACCTTCAGTTTCGGAAGTACACCAGTATTTCATAAGATTAGTGGTTGAACACGATCTATTGCATTATTCTTCTGGTTACTGACAGTGTCCTGTCTGATCTAACAACTACGCAGCTGCTGCTGTGTCTTCAGTTTCAGAAGTACACCAGTATTTCATAATTGCATTTGCATTATTCTTCTGGTTACTGACAGTGTCCTGTCTGATCTAACAACTACGCAGCTGCTGCTGTGTCAAAATGTGTGAAGCTGCCTGTGTACAGCTAATCTGCCTTGTGCTGCATATAATGGACCAGTTTTCCTCCCCGTCTCTGACAAACATTTGTGGAAGGGGTTGGATTAAGTTTCTACTTAAGACTGGCTGTGGCAACACATCTCTGGTTACTATGACAATTAATGCAGATGCCTTTGAAAAGCTTCAGCTAAAGAGGAAGAATGTTATGGGTTTGTTTCAGGGAAGTTGTCTTAAAAAAAAGAAGAAAAATTGAAAATATAAATTAATACAACATATGAAAATACTGAAGATTTTAGTGAGGTGACCTACTAAGCTTTGGGGTGCTTTTGAAACGTAAAGAAACACATCTGTCACACACTGCTCCTGCTGATGGAGGTCTCCACTGTCTCCAAGGTGTCAGTGAAGCCAGAATTCCTGCTATGCTTCTCTCCTTCATCTCCTTTCTCTGCTACCTCCTAATTTGAGCTGTTCATTTGTGGAGTCAAGTCCTAAAAATCAGGAGGTTTTTCAGTTTTCCAAGACACTTGAGTTTCACTTTCAAAGGGGTTGTATAGGTGTAGCTGGACCCTCGCTGCCACTCTAAAATAATGATCTGTGCTGCAGATTGTCAGTTTTTATATAGATGGGGTGAAGATTTTAGGAGATGCATATTTGTAAGGCACCAAGCTTTCTTCATGTGTGGGGTTTTTGGTTCCTTTCTCCTGTATTTGGGCAACAGAAAACAGGTGCCAGCCACCTGGGTGGGTAGCAGTAGCCTTCCGTCCTCTGCAGCCCCAGTCTGTTTAGATGTAGTTTGAAGCATTCTTCCTGGCTGCTCTGTCAAGTGCTATGCTCCCTCCATTCGCTTTTTCAGTTGCTCTGCATGCTGCTTTCTGCTTTCTCACGCACCCTGGCAGACCTGGCTTTATCCTGTGGCTTCCTTTGCTGTCCGGGCTTAGACTGGGCTGCGTTCAGTGCCTCCTCCTCGCTGCGGGATTATCTACCACAACGCAGTAGCTACTTAAGGTTGTGCCATTTTTAGTACTGAGCAGTGTCAACTCGGATTGCCTTGCACCTTTGAAAAAGGAGGAGATAAGAAAATGCTAGCTTGGACGTGGCCCTGGTGAAGCAAAGGGATTTTGAAGGAAACCAAACTACAGTAGTTGTATGTCTGCCTATCCTTTGAGTGTTAATGGCAAAAAATCCCCAACCTAACCAAACAAAAAGGCTTTGGGGGGGGGGGGGGTCAGTGAACACTGTCAGAGCTGCATTTGCCTTTTCTGCAATGTAACTGGTTACATGAGATGTCCTAATCGGTGGTTTTGTTTTTCCTCCCTCTTCTAGACGATGGACAGAGAGTTCAGAAAGTGGATGAAATGGTATGGGAAAAAACATGCAGAATACACAGTGAGTGAAATTCAGCTGAAAAACTTTGTGATCCATGCTGATGTACAGAATTTGCAGAGTCCTCTTCAGCCTTTCACCAGCCAAGCAGCAGTACGAGTTATATCTGCTTCCTGGCTTTTATCTCGATCCCCAGGATGGTGTTCTTCAAGACATCCTCCCAGGGCCCTCCCTTTGTCTGGCTTAACATGTGGTGTGGGGTTACTGGGAGTACTTTCAGGTCTTTTCATAAGCTCTTGGAAGACCTATTCTTCCAAAACATTGTCATTTTAACTGGGGCTGCCATCTGTCTTCTGTTTGTATTAAATCTCCTTTTACTTTTGGTTTTTTCCCCTCTCTCTCTGTCTCCATGGTTTGGGCGTTGAAAATAGTTCCTCCTTGGGTTTCTGAAATCTCCTGCTAGAAAACAAAAGCTGAAGCTTTGTTCTGCAGGCAGGTGAAGGTGCGGTCAGTTGGGACAGGTGGTGGAGGGGACAGGATGGGGTGGCAGAGGTTTCAGCATGGGATTGGAGTTCCGGATGAATGCCAGTAGTATGGGGTTAGAGCAGAAAACTCCAGGACCAATTAACAGGATAGATGGCTTGTACTTGGAGGTAAGGGATGGGTGTATGGGCTCAGGATGGTGGGTGGTTAGTTTTGACCTGGAAAGGTTGGAATTAGATGCTCTGAGAGTGGAAACAGAGCTGCAGGAGTAAGTGGGTTATCACAGGACATCTCTCTACTTGGGGCTGGGGACACATGGTGAAATAACTTTCCCCTTCCCCCTTCTTAAATGTCATTAAGAAAATCTGCTGCCTAGTGAGGAAATGTACGTAATCATACATTCATTCCTCCTTCCCGGTGAGGAAATGTACCTAGCCATAGCACAATAGGAACCCACTGGGAGTTTTAAAAATACCTGTACTGATGCTTCTCCTGCCACTTTGCTATGGTCAAGGAAGAGGCTGGATGGATCAGGGTTGTTCCCGAGTTGCCCAGAGAAGTTGGGTCACTCTTCCTGCTCAGAAGTTGCAGCTAGGAATGCGTACCACCGCTGAAGTGTGAGCAAGTGTTTGGGGAACTGCTTCATCTTCCTTCTGTACAGAACCTTTATTGCTATTTTATGGAATGGTTTGAACCATGTGGCTTTCAGCGTCCCACCAGTGTGGGATTGAATGGCGGGTCATGGATGGCCAGCCTTTATTTCCCAGTTTTCCGTGGCTGCTGGGATCCCTGCTGGGTGCTTATCTTGTAACAAAGGATGCTCCAGCTCTCCCTTGGGGAAGCAGGCTGGAGAAGGTGATCGTACCACCTGCCTCCGTGCCTTTTCTTCCTGAAATGGCTTTACCGTATAGCGTGATTTTCTTCAGAGGGATGCTGGGCCTGCTGGGGGACTAGTTTGTAGCAGGATTGATAGCAGGCTGCTAACTCTTTCCTGCTGTGGAAACACTGTGAATGCTTTACTTTTCATGAAGTGGCCATATGGCATTTTTCCATTGTGTCACCCAGCTGGCATTACATGAAAGGAATTGTTGGTGAAGATACTCTGCTTATGAGCTGTGTCATTTAAAGAAAAGGATAGGAACTTGGACTGAAATATTGAAAGCATATTGATTGCCGTAGGCAGCAGGCATTTCCATTTTGTGCATTCCAAGTGACAGGGTCTGGTACTATATTGAAACAAAACTACTTATTTTTTGCTAGGTTCTTTGGCTTTCATAACTCTGTTTTCTGAGAAGTGTTTAGAGTAAAATTTCTCTTTTTGTATGCAGTCTGCTTTTCTGGGGAGAGTTGAACGCTTGCAGCTCCTGTCTTAAGGAGAGTTCGTTTCCTATTCACCTTGTTGTAGTGATGCTTGAAGATAGATTTTAGTCTTTTACATGTAGACACACAGGGCAGATTTTATTTAGTTTTTATTGTTTCATCAAACATCCCAGCCTCACGTTCTCTTTTCCTTGCCAAACAGTATATTTTCTTTAGTAACTCCTTAGGCAGCATCTTCTATAGGTGACTGTTGTTAAACAGAGAGCAAACTTGTCTCATAAAGCAACTACAAGACACTGGAAGACACAGGATTAAAAAGCCTGTGATCTTTCTCTTTCTGGAAAACAACTTTGTCCCTGCAAAATGCTTAGTGGGGTCTCAAAATTCCAACTGCTGGAGACAAAATAAGCACAAATTGAAATAGTCTGTCGTCAGCAGAGCTTAACTTGTGAATTCCACTCTAATGTTTTAGGCAGTCATATGAAAAATAAATATTTTGAGAAGAATAAAGTGTTGGAGGAGGGAAGCTTGGCAGCAGTTCAGTGGGAAGAAGTCTCAGATCCCACCTGCAGATCCCTTTGTCTGAATAATGTGGATGGTGGTTTTGACTTCATGCATGTAACAGCTGCCTGTGGTGCATAAGGCAGCAATAAATCCTGGAGCTGGGCCTGTAGGGTTGTTTTTTGGTTTGTTGGGTGTTGGTGGTTGTTTTTTTTTTTCAAGAGCCAAGAGCCTAGTACAGTTATAGGTTTCCAACACAGGGATTTTTGATTTCTCACTGAAAAGTGCTGCTTGTCTTTTAGCTGGCACTGTTTTGGTGAGATTCACTTCCTTGCTTTCCCCACCCAAATATCCTTGTAAAAAAAGTTCTGAGCTTGGACACATGAATTCTGATGAGCAAGGTCCAGTGACAATATTTAAAAGAAACCCTGATTGTCCAGGTATATTTCCATTATATTTTGTTCACAATCATAGACAAAAGTCTCTTTTGAGAAATGATTCCATACAAAATAGGCAGAGACAATATACAGATGTTCTCAGTAAAACAAAACATGGTTACCTAGTCCCTTGCAGATTAATTGCACGTTAAACTTCTCCAGTAGCTAGTGGCAGTGTCCTGAGGCACGTTGGATGCCGAAGGCTTCTGCAGAGCTACAGCTGCTAGTAAGGGGTCATCGCTGCGGCTTAGGAGTGGGAAGATCCATTCAGGGCATGAGAGGAGCGGGAGAAAGTCCGCTCATCTTACGTTGGCTTGTAAGTCTCGTGATCTCCAGCTATTGTAGATAATTGTATCTCTTAATCCTGTTAAATGACCTGAGTTTCATGTTAGATGACGGGCTGTTCAATCTCATGATTCTAGTTGGAAAAATAAACCAAGAGAGTAACACTTTCTGATAAGAATCTTTCTTGGTTTTTATATTGAACTGATCTGTTTAAACTTGCTGTAAATATTTACATCCCTGTGCTTTGCTTGTTTAGGTTCGGTTGCTTCTCATCTCCCCCGATGTCTAATTCCTGATGGGTTACGGATAATCGTATTCTTTGCTAGTCTTCTCTTTTGCATTTGGAGGGAATGCATTCTGCTTCCAGGGCTTTTTTCATCATCATCAGTTGCTTCAGCTCTTTGGACTAGGAGGTCCTACGTCTGACACATCTCGCTCTGTTTCAGCTCCTTTCATCTTCTTGTTTCTCTTCCAATGGAAGTCAGAAGTTCCCACGTTTAGCCTTACCCCATTCTTTTCAAGAAAACTGTTGTCTGAAGGAAACAGGAGACTTTTCTAAGGTCATTAGGCCTAGATAATTAGAGAGTCTTTCTTGGGGAATTTCTGCACATGTGCAGTCTTCAAATTAAGAAGCAGGATTGCAATTAAGAGGCAGATGGGTTTTCACGGTTTCTAACTGTAAATATCCTCGTGTGGCCTCAAAATCAGAGCCCTCTCCAGGTATCTAGGGCACAATGCTGAGATTGCGGTGTAGCAGAAAGTGCTTAAACGTTCTTCCTGGGGTACCCACAAAGAAAGTTTCCAGTGTGTCCTGAGTGCCTACTACCTGTTGTACTCTTCTGCTAGGGGAAGGTTTTCTTGCAGTCATAGCCTCGACTAGCGCTCTGCAAGTGAAGCTGGCAGTGGCTTCTGCTGAGGACAGGGATTTGTTTTGTTTTTGTTTACTCAGGGTTGTTATAATGATACTTTCCCCTGTTCCCTAAAAGTTTCTTTTAGCAGTAGGTGGAAATCATCTACAAGTCTTCCAAATGAGTACAGGAACACACAGGTTGGTGTTGCTAAAGGCTGGGAGTTTGGTGAGATGGACATCTCCGACACGCGCGCTGGTTGCTCAGAGGAAACCCCAGCAGCTTCTCACGCTGAAGATGCTCTGAGCGTCAGCCCCGTGGATTAGAGGTGATTTTTGTTGTGCATAAATCAGTGGGAGCCTGGCGTCTGTAAGCTTGCAGGCTTGTCTCTGATGGAGTATGGGGTGCCCTGTCTGGCTTGTTTTCCTGGAAATCTCTGTTCTGAGCAAAACCAGAGTGATTTGTGTAGGAGTAGCATTGTCTCTTCTTGCCTGATAGCAGCTGCTGGTTTGTGGGGATAACTGACATCACCTGGACTTAAAAACTTCCGTTGCTTACCAGTGCACTGCAGCTGAGGCACGGCCAGTATCTGTTTGTCCCAGATATTTTTGAATGCCCTATTTCAGCGGGAAACTTGATGTTTTGGTATTTTGAAAAGCCCTCCAAACATCCCCTGTGGCTTTGAAATGGTGCCACATTTTGGAGGTTTGGATTCATGCCTCCAGTTATTTTTGAAAAGAACAGGAACCTAAAAATAACCATGTGTACTTTTCCAGGCAGAAATGACTGGTTTTTGTGAGCCAAGTGTTTGCATGGAGGCTCCTGGAACGAGACATTCTGCGTGTGAATTTATGGCTTTGTGTAGCGGGTCAAATAGAGCGTTACCAGAGAGACTCCCAGCCCGGTGCTGGGGTGAGAATGAAGCCCTCCTCCGCAGCAGCGGGGCTTGACCTTCATCAACTGTTGCTCTGCGACGTGATGAATGCACACCCTCTGGAGTGTACCTCTTGTTGCTTCCCCGAAGCGGTGACCTGCCAGTTTTCTTCGAGTTATAGGAATGGGAGCTGTTGAGTGTATTTCTGCAGTCTCCGTAGAACAAATTTATCTGTTTGAAAAACCTGAATAAAAACCTGTTTTGGCTTCTAAATTTAGAAACAATGCAGGCTGGCAGCACTCTGGAGCGGATTTCACTGAGCTAATTATCCTTTTAGATAAAGCACGTCTCCTGCATTGTCTAATCAGATGAAAATATCTGCATTACAGATGGTCTCCCCCAGATCATTATTCACTAAGGAGATTAAGTTTTGCAGAGAGAGAGGAGGAACA